AGAGGTAAAATGCTGTTATAGATTGAATTGTGTCCACAGAAAAGATATGTTGAAGTCCTAACACCTAAGAATGTGACCTATTTGGAAATATGGTCTTTGAACATGTTACCTGTTAAGTCAACATGAGGTCATAGGGGAGTAGAGTTGTCCTAATTCAGTATAAGTGGTGTCCTCATAGAAACAATAGAGAGGGGAAAGACTAAACCAAAACCAAATTCACTGCTGTCGAGTCAGATCCGACTCACAGCGACCCCTCCTTGGGTTTCCAAGGCAGTATCACCACAGAAGGAAGATTGGGCAATCTACTTCCGTAGAAATACTGCCTCAGAAACCCAAGGAGGGGTCACTGTGAGTCTGATCTGACTCGACAGCAGTGAGTTTGGTTTTGGTTTAGTCTTTCCCCTCTCTATTGTTTCTATGAGGACACCACTTATACTGAATTAGGACAACTCTACTCCCCTATGACCTCATGACTAGAGGGAGTTGTTCGGCAGCTACCAGCATAGCCTGGGGCCACCAGAAGCAGGGAGAAACAAGAAAAGGTCTTCCCCTAAAGTCTTTGGGGAGCTCTGGTGGCCTAGTGCCTAAGGCACTTGACCGCTAACCAGAAGGTTGGTGGTTCAAACCCACCAGCCACTCCTCGGAAAGAAGGTTGGGCAATCTACTTCCATAGTGATACTACCTCAGAAACCCAAGGAGGGCTCGCTGTGAGTTTGGTCTGACTTCACGGCACATAACAACAACAACAAACAAAGTGCTGAAGAGCAAAGATGTCACTTTGAAGACTGAAGTGCACCTAACCCAAGCCATAGTATTTTCAGTTGCCTCATATGCATGTGAAAACTGAACAATGAATAAAGAAGACCTAAGAATAGGAGCTCTGGTAGCATAGTGCCTAGGCACTTGACTGCTAACCAGGAGGCTGGCGGTTCAAAGCCACAAGCCACTCCTCGGAAGGAAGATGGGGCAATCTACTTCCATCGTGATACTGCCTTGGAAACCCAAGGAGGGGTCGCTATGAGTCGGGCCTGACTCGATGGCACATAACAACAACAACAACAAGAATAGTTGATGCTATGGTCCTGAGTTGGTAGATCTGTTCGATCTCTCTCCCACAGTGTGTGGCTGTCTGTGAGGGATTGCTCTATGTCTGTCTTCTGTTGTTTCTATAAGGATTGCGTGTGTTTTGTATCACTGGTATCTGTGCAAGATTGCCGAGGTCCAGCCTCAGCTGTGGGTCTCTGGAGGGAGAGGTGGTGTCACCGAGATGATGGAGACACACTCACTCAAGATGAAGATGTGCCCCACATAATGAGGTGGCCTTCTTTATTTTATACTATATTGCAGATTACAAATGACAAAGCAAAATGACAAACCCACAATTCTAGGTACATGGCTGTGGGCTATTAACTTTCCAAAACTTATAAAACTATTATTAAACTTATAAACT